CAAAAGCTCGTGCGTAGGCTTCCATTAAATGCTGATTATCTCAAAAACAAGCTCGGGACACCCTATTTTTCTTTCCAGATTTGGAATCAGCATTAACTTTCAATTCGGAAAATCGAAGTTTTAAAAAAAGCTGAAATCAATTTTCAAAAGTAGGCAGTCACCTTAAGTGTTTCTTCGTACTCAAGATTCAAATACGAAAATAGAAAGTTAAACGAGAATCCCCTATTACATATAATCTACGCGAAGAAAAGCTCTCTATATTGGCGATAGTGACGTATTTCCGGGTTACGTAGGTACAAACACCAGGGGGAGGGCGGTAACTTTTTTGTTTTTCTCCATTTTAAAACTATTATAACGTATTTCTTTGAGGACATAAAAGCTCAAGTGCAAGTTACATTTTGATCACCACCAGCAAACTTAGAATCCTGATTTTGGCTCTGATGATGGCTTTCAACACACTTCTCACACCGCTTCCATGTGCGATGCGTTTAGTAAAACTAATCGCAACGTGCATCCCATTAAATTAGTTCTATTTCAAAGTTTCTCTGCTGTGGAAACATGATTTTGATATTTTTTACTTAATTCTGATTTATTAAAAAAGGGCCATATAATATACTTCCAGACATCGAGTACTGAACCGTCGTATGACAGTGCGAATCATTTACAGTTACGCCGGAGATTTCGGCCCAAGCACCACTATCCACTGATTACAGACGGATCAGAAAGCTCGGCCGAAGCCTACAGGCGCGATTACACAGGGCACATTTTTCTGCAACTTATCTCGCAACAGCGTTTACACGGTTACACGCTGCAATGCAACGCTTATCGCAACGCTGTACATGTTGCAAGACAAGTTGCAGAGAAAATTGCTCCGTTTAATCGTGCCTTAAGGGCAAGGTTATCCAACCCTAGGCCGTAGATGATTATCCCCTTGATATGACCAGCAAACTTTAAAATCGTGATAGTGACTCTGATGGTATTGAACGCACCACTCGTCATTCCATTTGGGATGCGTTTAGTAAGACTAAAATAGAAAGTGCATCGTGACCATGAAAATAGAACTTCAATTTTATGATTGTCTTTCATGGAATATAAACAACCTTCTTCGTGGCACTTTTTTTGTAATTTTCTACTATTTCTCAGCGAAAACGACTGCTTATAGTTTCAGACTATTCTAGTTTTGTAGAGTAACTTCAAGCAATTTTCATCTGCCGGTTAAATGGATTTATGTTTGATCTATTTGTGTTTCCTAAACATAGAATAAAAACGACCCTCTTTGTGGCACCTGGAAAAAAATTGACTGCCGGGTACCCATTAGGTAGCAACTCGTACGCGCGTTTCTTGTTTGCATCTAGCGACTTGTTTCTTATGTTCAGCAACTCATCTCAAATATACAAAAAATATACATAACATGTATCAGTTTCTTCTTTGTTTAACAATTGCTGCATTCCTGTTATGGACAACCGTAGTCTGCATCCTCATTATTTGTATTCATTTATTTCTGTGGCAATAAACTCTAGTTTAAGTTCATTTTACTACGCTGTTAATAAAACTACAACCATACTAACTGCATGTATTTTCCTCTTTTTCTTTTTCTTTTCATTGCTTAAATAGGCTATCTGCACTAACAGGAATCCGGAATCCGGAATCCGGAATCCACGAAATTTTAGGCTTTGGAATCCGGAATCTAGAGTCTCGGTCCGTAATCCAGCGCTTGGAATCCGGAATCCACCATAAGTCCGGATTCCCTTACATGGGGCGAGACACTTCCTCCCGCAATGACGAGCAGCTGTGTCAAAATGAACACCAAAAACAAAAAGGGACCTCGATAATAATGCGGAGTTTCAGCGCATGATAGGGAGCTTTCAAAATTGTCTTCAATTCGAGGCAATAGAATAAAATTCGAAATACCAAAGAAATACTGCAAATGCCATCGAGTAAAAGTGAAAGTTTGTTTATATTTTAGTATTAGCTTCGCATCCAAGTTTGTTTTGTGTGTGGTGTGTTTGGGTGTGTTTTTGAGAAGGGTTCATTGACTATACGATGAATAGCTTATGAAAACATAAAATCGAGTGCAATTTTTTTGATGCCTTAAAATTATATTAAATATCATTTTCCCGTGTCGAAAGTTTTGCGCTGAAACTTCGCCTTTTCACTAATATGTAAGTGCTCTTTTCCTTTCTGGCCGTGTTCTAGTAAATTTGATACATGTTCAAGATTTAGCATGGATAGGGTTAGATTTCGTGTTATAGCAAGGGGACTATTCCTTGCCATCCTGTATCAGCAATGTCATATCTCAGGAGGCACCAATCGCTCATACAGTGGTTCTTCTCCTGTAGAGTGCACGTTGGTTTCAACATGACTCAATGATTTGGGAACACCACATTCTTCAACTGTTGCATAATCATCATTGGTAGATGTGGTTCTTGCAAGGGACAACGATCCTTCTCGTTCMWGATCAACAGCATCTATTGGGTCTTGGTATATATTCTCGTCCATATTTTTCACTGTGAGAAAAGAAACACGTTTATTTTAGATTAATTTTATTTGGAATAATAAAACAAACAAGTCCACGACAGCAACAACAACAAATAAAGAGCAAGAATTAACAGCACTGGMAGCAATTATATACTATAACGACAACAATGACAACATCAGCATCTGCAAACCTGGACTTAGCCACACGATGAAATAAGAAAACTGACAAGAGAAAAGTAGGAAAGACTTTCAATAAATGTATATATATAATTATACCAATCTTTCAGTACTGGTAATTCTGGAAAGACGGTGATGCTGCGCAGAGAAACTTTGATTTTTTGTTTTATTAATTTTTTTATAAACTTCATGATTTATCTCATTGACAACTCAGCTGTGTACCTTTTGAAGCTTTTATCCGCCTCCAGAAACGTACGGCAACAACGACTACTCCCACAACGAAAATCAGGCATCCGCAGGTTATCGCAACGATTATCTCTAATTTTAAAGCCGTTGGAGTAGTTTCATCTAAACCTGTAAAGAGATAAAGTTAACTCTGTATTGACAAGCA